GTTCAGACGTGTGCTCTTCCGATCTCCTGAGGTCAAACAAGGTGGCGACCGAATAAAGTAAGAAATTTACATTGAAACATACACGGTTTTATATTTGTCAAAGTCGGTACTCGCCTATTAAAGTTTTTATTAATAAAGTAAAGTATAATTAGCAAGAATCACGAAAAGACGAGCCAAAAGGGCCTGCGTGAATTGAGGGCTTCGTGATTCGTTGTCCGATAGCCGAAAAGTCCGGTTACAACCTAACCTTAACAAAAAAAGGGGGGGGGAGAGGGTGGCACGCAAACAAAATTATTGACATTTTTATTCAGATATTTATTGATTAATATTTTTTAAACAATTTAGAAAGTATAGGCTAATGGGAATCAGCGCGGTAATTGGTGCGCAATGATAATTTAAGTGAATATCACTATTTATTTCATGTAAATCAATTTATTGCCAAACGTTTCGGCCATACTTCTGGCCATCCTCAGTGGTATAATTTAGTTGCAATCCCATTGTCGTTCAAAAATAACGCTACAAATAACATACATTTCGTTTAAATATTTTACAATAATTACTTACAAATCACGGAGTTACAAATCGTCACCTAGAGAACTTACCGCAACTGCTAATTTTTTAAGAACTTTAACATCTCGTCATTTGTCAAATATTTAAAAACTGAACTGAAAAATTAACTGAGATATTTCCAAAAGAAAAATCGACTGTGCTTCCAAGCGCCACATGTGCGACTGAAGATCCGAAAAACAAGGTCAATTTGCCTAGTTGCTTACGTCATTGATTATGGCGGTGTACGCATGATCAAGCATCTCAGTGTCAGTTTGCAAGTTCAAACTGTTGTTTTGTTTGTTAATATATATCATTTCGCTGATAATCCGTTTTTTATAATTTTTTTCAATATCCAAAATTTTCACATTACTCCAATCCATATCATGAGCGCACTGTAACCTATGTTCTGTTATTACAGAGTGATTGTCTTTATTTCTGTTAATATCTTTCCGATGCTCATTAATTCTGGTTAACAATTTCCTTCCCGTTTGTCCTACATAACTTGCATCGCAGTTCGCACATTCTATCTTGTAGACAACATTTCTTTTGAGTT